CTCCTCTTTACGTGTGTGCGATTTAGACCGAGCCCAGCCACGGGGATCAGGCGGAGAAGGCATGTGGCAAGTGGACGGGGCGGCCGCAATGACAACGTTTGCTCCAGCAGCCGGCGGCGGTGGCGGCGGAGGTGGTGGTGGCGTGTCCGGTGGCATGAGGTCAGCACTGGGCAAGATACAAGCGGCTACCGGAACCGGCGGCGGAAATATCAACAACAATGGCGGAGGCGCCGGTGCCGACGGAGGACTGGACAGCCACAACCAGCGTCTGGGATCGTACGCCACCGTGAACCGCCGTCGCCCGAGCGAGCGCGGCCTCCTGGAGGACGAGATTCCCGGCTCGGGCACGCTCACGCCGCGCTCGCCGGGTTACCTGAGCGATGGGACGGCGAGCCGTGCCGAGATGGTCAGCATCGGCGGCGGCATGGAGACGGACTTCTCCAACACCAATCACCTGGCGGCGAACAGCAACGTGATGAATCCGGAGGGCATGCACCAGCTGCAGGCCTCGCTGCAGGACTTCGAGTACGACGGCGTGGTCGGATCGGCCAGGTATAAGTACAATCCGGCTGTGGACAACGCCAGCGGGCGGGACTTCTACGATGCCACGCAGGGCGACGACCCAACGTACATGGAGACGTCGGAATACAACGGCGAGTACGGCTGCGTGAACGACTACGCCACCGACCTCGACAACCAGTCTTACGTAGAGGGCCCGGTGGACTACACCAACATTTTCACTGGCGGGCACGTCGAGGATACGTACGCCACGGCCGGCGTTGACGGCTACGTGCCGGAGATGGACGAGCAGTTCGGACCGCCGCGACCGATCGACGACTACTCGGCACAGAACATGCAGCACTATACGCTGCAGCCCGGGGAAGACGAGACGAAGACGAAGTTCGGCGACGCGCTCTACTACTTCCAGCGCAAGGCCACCGAGCGAAAGCCCAAGAAGGGCAGCGTGCGCCCAGGTGCCAATCCACAGTCGCGCGGCACCAGCCAGAGACGCTCTTCTGCACAGCAGCAGCAGCAGCAGCAGCCACCGACCAAGGTGGACTTGTGGGAGTGAGCTCCACGCAGCTCCACGCGAGCATCCTGAGCACCTGCTTTCCATTTGACTGTTTCCGTCTTTCTTCCTTTTACGCATCGGAGTAGGGCTTGCATGCTGCCTGTTCTAGTGGGCTTTGCTTGGACCGGAAGAACAAACTGATAATAATGTTATTTCCTGGGTCGCCGTGACTACCGTCTCCCTGGAGACTATTCATGATTGTTTCCAGCTGCAGTGTGCATGCACAGCGGCAGGATGCTCGCTAGCAACGGCTGGTGTTTGTTTTTGCCGTTCCTACGTTAAGCTCTCACTGGCCGTTTGCTACGTCCGGGCGAGAGAGAGAGAGAGAGAGTGTGTGTTGTACGCCTTGTGCATGAGTACACGATTGCTAACCTTACGGTGTGCACGCATACTGCTGGCCGCTCACTCGGCATGCTGAGTTAGGCGAAAACTTATCCGGCGGAAAAAAAACACGGCAGAAATTGAACCAAACATTAATTTTGACCCCCCCTCCCCCCTCCTTTGCTGTTCATTTCATTCACACGATTTCGCTTTCACACACTCTGAACCATTTTTAGCTCCAAGTTTATAGAAGCCTTATCAACATATGTCCCAGTGAAGGTGGCTTGCATGCGGCTGGAAAGACCAGCGGTGTGCGTGGGGATTTCCAATAATTTTCTGATCGTTCTCCCAGAGTGTCACCTGTTTTGAGGTTTTCATATTTATTGGCAATTATCGATACATGTTTGTTGACGCACTATACCTCCGCTTTTTGAGATGAGAGTTCTGTCGTTGCGTCGACTTCTGGCGCATGCTACCACTCAATGTTTCTATCAGATGCTCTATTTTCCTGACCCTGCTCGCTTTAGATGGCTGTTACGATTTTTTGATTTGCACTCTCTTATTCTTCTCCCCGTGTGTGGGAGCTCCAGGCTTCCTTGTCCAGCGTACTACTTTCATGCTCCTCTCTCTTCTCTCTCCCGCTCTCTTCTGCTTCCCCCGCTGTCCTCTGTTGTTGGGATTTTTCTCGATCCAGCGACGCTAACTTGCTCACCTAAATAGATTATTGCACGGCCGTTTCCCAAATGCTTCACCCCACTCCCCGGTTCTGCCCCTGTAATCACAATCCCTCCTCCCCATCGTCCCTGCACACAGAGTTGACATTCACCCTACAAACATTCACCACCGCCGGTCCGGTCTTCTTCCGTGATGGCCGGTCATGTTTTTACAACTCTCCGACATTGAACAACGGTACAAAATGTGTACTTGTTGTGCCTGCTAAGTTATACCTTATGCTATGTTGGCTTGTAAAGTTGTACTTCAAAGTAGTATTCTTACAACGCTGTGACATTTGTACTTGTTTTGCTCATGTTCCTGTGTCTAATCTTGCGGTTGTACACCAGCTCAAGTCTTGTCGGCTTAGCAGGCATACGTTACCCACCTTCTAATTTGAATAGCTATACTATAGTCTCGTTTTCATCATAAAAAGTGCTTGAGCAATAGGAATGGCAGTACATTGTTGGCACTGCACAAATGGCAACCATTTGATGTTTATTTTTCATTGCTCACAGAGGTGCATCAGACATCGTGATCATGCTTCCAGAACCATGTATCTACATACAGGTAAACCTGCCTTAACCGGACGCCCGTGGTGCAGCGGAAACTGGTCTATGACATTATTCCGCTTGACACAGGGATGCACGTTCGATCCACAGCCCTTTGGTGCAGAAACATTTCCCGGTCAATACGGGATTCTGCTTGGTATAGGAGCAAGCAAACACAGGTAGAACTGTACTTGCGAAACAACAAAATGAGCATAGCAGAACGGCATTAAGTTATGGCCGTGACTCTGGGCATGAAACAAAGCACTCGCCGGTGCTTGCAAAGCCACGAGACCATTGTTCATCACCAATGGACTGATGGTTAGAGTGTGGCAAGGCCCCCGACAGGGCCTGCCCACTGGCGTGACGGAAGCCACCATATCTACAATGACCGCACAGTCCACAGACATGGGTGGATGCGAGTTAGGCACAGACATTGGAAAGGCACTCCTGCTTTTCATGAAATTTCCCTGACCACACAAGGAAGGCACGACTCAGGGCAAGAAACAAAGCACTCGCTGGTGCTTGCAAACCCACGAGACCATCGTCCATGGATAGTGGATGGATGGATAGAGTGGTTAGAGTGCGGCAAGGCACGCGACAGGGCCTGCCCACTGTAGAGACCATCGTCAGTGGACGGATAGTTAGAGTGTAGCAAGGCACGCGACAGGGCCTGCCCACTGGTTCGACCATCGTCCATCCGCAGTGGATGGATGGTTAGAGTGGCTAGAGTGTGGCAAGGCACGCGACAGGGCCTGCTCACTGTAGACTATCGTCCATGGACAGTTGACGTATGGTTAGAGTCAGGGAGTCGTAAAAGCCCGGGAGAGGACACGGGATGCGCGCACGCGGACGATGTTTGCCTCGGCCAGAAAGTGAAGCACGCTAGGCCGGCGCGGCCGGATCTGCTCGATCCACGGCGCTGTGCTTGTCTTCAGGGCAGGGAGTCCTAAAATACCAATATTTTACAACTCGTTGTTGACACCATTATCCGAAACTGGTGGCGAAGGAAGGATAAACATGATTGTATGTCTGTCAGACTCAGTACAGGGGTGGGGAGTTGAGTGTGTGTGTGTGTGTGGGGGGGGGGGAGGCGTGTGTATGTGCACATGTGCTTGTACTTTTGTGTGTGTTTGTACAGTGTTTGTGTGTGTGCTTGTGTGTGTGCGCGCGAACGTGTGTGTGCATTTTTGTGCACAATTCCGTTATGAAGTACAAATGATAGGTTTACCTTTTGTACACTCGCCAAGACTTCCGTTTCCTAAACGGCTCAAGTCACCGCGTACTCAGTATACGAGTAGAAAAGTGTTGAAATTATCAAGATTTATAAATAACGACCTGCAACCATGTACAATGTAGATAGATAGGGAACACACATTGATTGTTTTTAAAAGAATCCAGGCATTATCATGAATCATGGAACGAGTGCGTAATAATGCTCTATGTTGCGTTTTGACGATGCTGAAGGAAGGGAGCCGTCGCGATTTACTCACAACACACGCACAGAAGTCCACTCGACTGCAATTTCTGACACAAATTCATAAATCCACGAGTACGCTGAGGAAGCTCAGCGGATCTCCACAAGAACTTTCGCCCATCACCTGCAATGGAATATGGGCTGTATGATACGACCAGTGGTTAACACGGGAAGTGGCGTCATTTTCCACAAATCTCGTTTCATTCACAACCATTTGACTGCAATTCAGTGCAATTTCTGCCACAAATTCAACTCCACGAGTACGAGGAAACTCAGCGGATCTCAACACGAACGTTGGCCCATCACCTGCAATGGAATATGGCCCGGGCTGTATGCTACGACCAGCGGCTAACACGGGAAGTGGCGTCATTTTCCACAAATCTCGTTTCATTCACAACCATTTGACTGCAATTCAGTGCAATTTCTGCCACAAATTCAACTCCACGAGTACGAGGAAACTCAGCGGATCTCAACACGAACGTTGGCCCATCACCTGCAATGGAATATGGGCTGTATGCTACGACCAGCGGCTAACACGGGAAGTGGCGTCATTTTCCACAAATCTCGTTTCATTCACAACCATTTGACTGCAATTCAGTGCAATTTCTGCCACAAATTCAACTCCACGAGTACGAGGAAACTCAGCGGATCTCAACACGAACGTTGGCCCATCACCTGCAATGGAATATGGGCTGTATGATACGACCAGCGGCTAACACGGGAAGTGGCGTCATTTTCCACAAATCTCATTTCGTTCACCCCAACTCAAATAAAAGTGAAGTACAATTAGGGATTTGTCTTGCATTTCCATCGCCTCAGAATAAATTAACTTCGATAAACTGAGAGAGAATGAGTGAGGCAGCTGGAAGATGAGGATGAAAATAGAGATCAGAAGACTCGACGGAGCAATCGTCTCCGTGCTCTAAGAGAAATCGGAGAATGTCCCAATTAGTATTTCAAGAAGACATCACAATTTTCGAAAATAATAATTTCCTTGCCTCGCAACACCGTTCCCTGGCAGCGTTCCCCGGCAGCGCGAGGCAAAGATGTTTTCTGGGAATGTGTGCCGTGTCCTCTCCCGGGCTTTTACGACTCCCTGGTTAGAGTGCGGCAAGGCACACGACAGGGCCTGCCCAGTGGTGTGACCATCGTCCATCGACAGTGGATGGATGGCTAGAGTGTGGCAAGGCACGCGACAGGGCCTGTCCACTGGTGAGACCGTCGTCCATCGACAGTGGACGGATGGTTTGAGTATGGCAAGACACGCGACAGGGCCTGCCCACTGCCGTGATAGAAGCCGCCGCATATCCGAAATGTCCGCGTCGTCCATCGATGGGGTTGGATACCAGTTACTTTTAGGTACAGAGATTGGCAAGGCACTCTATAGGGCCTGCCCAATGACGTGACGGAAGCCGTCTGTTGATGTTGCTACACGCTAAGCGCAGAGCCGTGGCAAGGCACTCGAAAGAGCCTGCCGAACTCGTGAAGACCGCCCTGACCGAACAGGGAAATCGTGACTCGGGGCATGAAACAAAGCACTCGTCGGTGCTTGCAAACCCACGGAACCATCGCAGCGTCGCCATCAGCATTGGCCGCCGAAAAGGCCGAAATTTCCATATCGGCACAAACTAGTTACTTCAGCACTTACCTACACGGACAGCACGACGATCCGGTGGGAACTCTTACTAGTCCTAGGCCTGGACTGCAAGCTTCAGCTTTGGAGTCATCATTAGACAATAGACACTGCCATAGCGGCAGTAGAAGACTGAAGTCTCAAGGAAACTAGACAAAGGAAAAAGGTAACCTATCAGCAAAGAAGCGAAAGAAAAGGCCAAAGAACTAGAAAGCAAGAGGTGCTAGGTGCAATCAAGGCGTGCATTTGCATTTTTATCTTTAAACCGCTGGAAATTTATGGAAAACTAGAGCGATTTGAGGCCAAACACACTGTCACATTCGAAGCCGAAGCTCCGAAGTGTAACTGAGTTTGCTTGCCCGGCGAACGTGGTTCCTGAGCATGATCCTTTCCCAGCTGTGCATTATGGTTCAAACAGTTTCTTTCCAGGACTTAGCGCCCACCTGCTTGGTCAGCTTGAAAAGATGTTCAAGGCTGGCATCCGTGCCACCTTGCAACAGCGGGTCTTGACTCCAACTGCCCCGCTGCTCTCTCTGCTCAGCATTGTTAGTCTAACCACATACATACTACACACAAAATTGTCGTATTTGTTCATCGATGCATTAACTCCTCCTGTAGCCCCCTTCTTCAACAATTTTTCACCCGAACGGCCCCAGAGACTGTTCCGGAGGATCAGCGCACCACACGGGGACAAGTGTCGAACTTGCTTCAAGTTCCCTTTCTTCGTGGGCCTGCGGGACGATCGACCATGATGTTTCGGGAAAGCATTCTCTGGAACGCTCTCCCCTCTGATTTTAGAGTGATAGGTGTCCCTGGTCCCTTCCGAAAAGCTCTTTCTGCCATTGATATACTTACTTTGTGAATATCCTCGTTATACTTTTATTACACTCTGAGCAATGCCATTCACAGAGCACAATGCACGCTACCTTCTGCTGCTTCTCCTCCGTGATGTGCTAGTTGCGCCTTTTCTCTCTCTCTGTCCCCCCCCCCCCCTTCTGCATACTAGGTGACATAATTCGCATCTTTTTTGGCGCTACACTTTGCGTATATACTGCTCTTGTGTGGCTTCCACGGTATTCATTGTTATTACCTGACGATGGCCAAGTGCCGAAACGTAACGGAACAGGTTCGGATGTCATGTGCAGCGCTATGGGAATGGGTACGGGTGTGTCCACCCGAATTCCTTTCACATACTTTTATTATCTGCCATAAATTCCAACCTTCTCATCTATCAATCATTTGTGCATGTATGTCTATAAAATCAACCACGTATTCCTGACTCCATGAAATTGTCTTTCTATTCTTTGACTCCATGAAATTATTGTCTTTCTTTTTCTGACTCCATGAAATTATCTTCATATAATTTTTTCCTTTTCTTCTTTTAGTCCTTTCTGTCTTATATTATTATCATTTCTTGTTTTCCCTTGCATATCATCCCTTCATCATTCTGTGAGAACCTGTCCTATGGGCAGGTGAGAAGGCATCTCTGCCTGTTCATTTGGTGAAGTAAAATGAACAACAACAACAACAACAACAACAACAACAACAACAACAACAACAACAACAACAACAACAACAACAACAGCAACAGCAACAGCAACAGCAACAGCAACAGCAGCAGCAACAACAACAACAACACCAGCAGCAGCAGCAGCAGCAGCAGCAACAACAACAACAACAACAACAACAACAACAACATCTGTAGGGCTGTGTTTACATGTGCCGCGAGCAAAAAGCT